TCAACTCTCACACAAAGGATATAAATAAACAAGTTGATATAAATAAACAAGTTGAGCAACATTTGAAAGTAAATACTAAACATATATCTAATTTTTCTTTCATTTAATTTTTATCTCTTTTTATTTTTTATCATATCTAAATATATTTTTATTTTCTATATTTCCCTCCTTTTATTCATACACAAAAAATGGGACAATACTGCTATTTAGTACAACTTTCATATATATATATATATATATATAATTGATGTATATAGTCTTTAGACTTATATATAAACAAAATAATCCAATTCACACAAATTAAAAAAAGATAGTTAAGTGCATCGATTTCATATATAATATACTTTATATTTCTTAAAATATTCTTGATTATATTTATTATAAATAGTATTCTTATTTATCATTTTATTTGGAGTAGTTTTAGATTAAAAATATTAAATACGGTTGATTTTGTTAAATTTACTTGTATTTCAGTTAAAAAAATTTAAATATTTTTTTGTTATATATAAGTGCGGAGTGAGTATCACACTTTCATGTGATGTTACGAAATTCTATTCGTGCTAAATAGCTCCTTTTAAAAATGGGGTGCAAGAGTATCGTTACTCAAATCAGAAAGAAAAGAAATTAAAACAATTTATCCTTATCTATCGCCGGAATATGTGGGAAAGAAGGACATCAATGAATCGTTCTTCCAAAAATTGCAGCAAAATTTCTCTGAGGATGGCATGTGATCCAATATGGACATTAATTATTCAGGAACAGCATCCATGTGGGTGGGAATAGTAATCACCGAAACAGGCAGGGTTAATCAAGTTAAGAGTCAAAGAGAAACGATCATTGATCTACTTTACTGTGTTTTTAAATTTAGAAATTTAAAATTTTTAAAATTTAAATTATTTTGATTTTGATTTTTATTATTTTTAAATATTTTGTTTAGATAAGTTAATTTTAAATTTGGATAAACATATATATATATATATATATATGTATATATATTAAATTTTTTAGATAAAACTTTATAAAACTAAATATATATTACTTAATTTTTAAATATTTAATAATTTAAAAAATAATTTTAAATATTTAATAATTTAAAAATTATTAATATTTTTTATATCGATCAAAGAAAGAGATAAGACTTAAGAAATAAAAAGAGAAAGAAGAATTTCAAATTCTTATTTAAAGAAAAACTTGAAATCTACAATTTTAAAGAATCTCATAAATGTTTAAATTTTAAAATTTTTGTAAATTCTTTATCTAAAGATTCTAAACAAAATATTTAACTTCAAAGCATTAGACATTCTTAAAAAAAATTACCCCATTAAAATCTTTCATCCAAACATACTTTTAAAAATTAAAAGGATAGACTGATATGAAAATAAGAGATACAAAGAAGAAAAGTAAAAACAGGAAAAAAATAACAAGAAGTAGCTGAGAGAATAGAAAAAAAAGATTACAAAGCGTTTGTTTCATATATTTTTTCTCTCCTATTTTTGACAATTTAAGGATGAGAATATTGATTCTCATATTTTTTTTTTAACAAACTTAGAATGTCATACAATAATTTTTTTTAATATCTTATATTTTCAAGAAGGTTAAATTTTCGTAATTAAGAGAATTTTATTTTTATTAAAAAAATAATGTGAAAGTGGTATTCTCATGAGAATATATAAATTTATTATTATTTTTTTTATGAGAGTTATTTTTTAAATTGTTATAACTTCTATTTTTATTTAAATTATTTTAAAATTTTAAAATATTGTTAAAAATATTAAATGAACCAAAATTTTTTAAAAAATATTTACGGGAATAACAAGTGAAAATGAGGGAGAAGAGGTTAAATATTTATGGGAAAAGAAAAACCTCAAACAAGTAGGTCCCACGGTATTTGAGGTCCTTACACTCATAGTTTTTGTCCAGTTATTTCATACCCATACGCAAACATATACCCTCATAAGTCATATCTGATGTATTTTTTTTCCCAGGAAAATTAGGTCATCATCGTATTAAAACGTGAAAAGTGCAAATATCTAAAAAAGAAAAGTTTCATAATTGTAGTTGTAGGTTTCATATTTGGACTTGGATCCTCTTCTATTAATTGCACAATTAAAAAGGATAAAAAATCCTAGGAGATAGTTTTAGAACTGTTTTCATATTATTTTTTTCTTAAATATATTTTAAATCTCTTCAAATATCGTACTTTCTTGATTTAATTCCTATAAAATCTCTTGTAATTTTTAAATTGTTGATAATTTGTAATGTTTTTTAAGTCCTTATCACTAACTTTACTATTTTAGTTAATTTAGTGCTAAAATTAGTAACAAAATATATAATATTAATTAAAATAATTAACAGAAAATAATTTAAATTAAGATAACTAAATTATTTTTACATGCTTAATTAAATTAAGTAATTTGTTTATTGTTTTATATAAATCAAATAATTATATATAATTTCTTTTATAATGTATTTTTAAAATTTTAAAATGTTATGAACTGTGATTTTTATTACATTTAATTTTATTCTTTTTTTGTCAGTATTTAATTTTTTATTACATTTAATTTCTTTTATTACTTTTCATTTTCTTCATGTTTTAATATTGGATTTTTTTTTAAATATTATAATTTACCTAAAGGTTTATAACATATTTCTAAATTTCATTTTTAAAATTTTGATTAATTTTAATACATTTCTTTTTTATATATTACAAGTAATAATTTTGTTTTCAAAGATAAAAGTAAAATATTAAAAATAAATTATAAGTGTTTAAGTAAAATAGATATTTTTTTTTCTCTAAGAATACAATATTAAAAGTAAATTAGCCGATTAAAAAGTAAGAAAAATATTTAAAAAAAAATAGCATGCATAATATATTAAAAAATAAAAAATAAAAAATAACATCGGATGCAAGTTTTGTGGCATCAAATATGAGTCAGACTAAGACTCTTTGTTTGGATAATGTCAGACGTAAGTTTAGCTATGCTGGCCATGATTGACATAGAGCCTCTTTGTCTCATATACACTATAAACACAAGTGGATTGGTGCCAAGTGTGGATGAGTTAGAGGCTCTCTGTCTCAATGGCGTCAGACATTTGGAGAATGGTGTCAAACGTGGTTTGCTGAATGAGAAATTATTGTTTTAGTTGCCTAAGTGCTAAAAGTATGTTAAATATGCTGGTTACCCACATGATATATGATGTTGTATGATTATAATCCATTATAATTGATTTATGATGATTTATAATGACGTTTAAGTTGCTTAAGTTGTTTATGAATGAAAGTTGACTAAGTTGTGAGTTGTAAGTTGATTAAAGATGTTAAGTTGTATAGACATGTGATGCATGTTTAAGTTGAGATAAATAAAAATTAGATGGGAGTAAAATTGTTTTAAAAATTAAAATATTTTACTGTATGAATATAAGTTATGGTGTTCTCAGAGCTTGAAGGTGAAAACCCTTAAGTGAGTAAGTTGCCTCCTAAATGAAAAGTTATTTTTTAGTTGTCACCTCTAGATTTTGTGTGGAATCGTATGTGGGTCAGGTCAAATCTTACGTATTATAAATGGCCAAAATGAAGTAAGGTATGAATTTGAGGAGTAAAATCCATAAATGGTTACTGGAAAGATGTGTCATATTTGAAGGATAAGTGGACTAATTTGATATAAAACTTAGTTATGCGTGTTAAGGTCATGGTAGGCCTACACCCAAGTTATTTTACATTGACAGTAGTATTAGATTTTCCTAATTTAGGTAATGAGACTTGAGAAATCAAATAATTTGTTAAACAAGTGCTTAGAGAGGCCTGAAGTTGCCTATACTTAACATTATGGTTTGGTAGGGTCTAGCTACTTAAACTGCTCACCTCAGTTGTAAAAGATCTCCATAAGTTGATATGCTTAATGATATATTAATATTTGTTTAAAGTTGTTAAGTTGTGTATGAAGTTACTTGTGTAGTGAAAGTTGCAAGTTGTGAATGATGTTTGAAGTTGATGTTAGGCTTTGAGTTACCTTGTTGATATAAGTTGTTTATATTGTTATAAGTTGTGATTTTCACTATATGTTGTTATATTGTTTCTTTCACAACTTTACCCTTTCCTTTCCTTATTGTTAGGTTGCAATAATCATACTTAAGAGTAGAGAAAAATTAGGTTGGATGGATGACTTGGTGGAGGGTCATGTTGGAGATAACATGATTTTGTGATATTATTCTGATATAGTATCTTTAGACACTTAACCGATGATAAAGTTTATGTTTTCGGTATTTTGTATATTTTTATATGTATATTATATATGTACATAGTTTATATATAACCCATAAGGAGTTTTATGTTTTTCATATTTTTTCACCTTATATCTATTGTATGGATATTCAAATTTTGTTATATGAAAATCTTAGTATAATTGACTATTTAATATTTTTTGATGTATAGTAACCTATCAAATCTTTACATAAAAGAGTCCTATTTTTTTAATACTCATTTTTCTTAAGTTACCAACATTGATCAGTTTCTATTTTTATTATTTATTTATTTTTTTACCTTAATCTCCCCCACATATAACACTTGAGGAAAGAGAAAATATTTTTTAAAGTGGTGTTTGAGTGTTTATTTTATATAGGTTTCTAAAAAAACATTTTTGAAGCATAAATGAACACGTATCTATATGTGTCTGTATAATGGAGCAACTTAGAATGTGAAACGTCAACGGCAATCCCATTTGTTGAGTAAAGAAACAGATCCATACATGCTGCGTTGCTGCCTAACCTTTTCCTTATCTAATATACTATTTACATACCAAAATCTATCGCGTCATTTCCTGTATGAAAATTCATAATCTTAGGTAACCCAAAATAGAAATCTTGATAATTAATCATGCATGTGAAGAAGAAGGCATTACAAACACGGAAAACAACGTTCAGACTTCAGAGGGAATGGGTACAGAATATATATATATCTCTTGTCCATAACACTTACACCACTTATCTCCGTGACTCATTAGCTAGTCTGTCTTTAATTCTCATATGCATATATATAGGGATTACTATACGTCACGTTATCTCCCATTCCACCACCACTTCATTATGCACCAGTTAGGTATTAATTAACGGGCATTCTTCTCTATATATACTTGCAAGTTTAGCTGAATCGTGCAGAGTTAAGAGTCACCATGGGGTACAATTTTGTGTTCATTGGTGTGTTATTTTGTTGTGCCATGGTTAGTCACAATGGTCTAGCGGCGACGGAAGCCAATAATTATGACTATGCAGATGCTGTTGGCAAAGCCATCTTGTTTTTTGAAGGACAACGCTCAGGGAAGTTGCCCACCAGCCAAAGAGTGAAGTGGAGGGGAGACTCGGCTCTATCAGATGGCAAACTTCAAAATGTATATATGACATATATAATTAATCCTACATTGTCATAAACTAATAATCCACATGCAATGCTATGGTTATATACAAGTGTTTCATGTATACATTTCTTAATTAATCATATATTATTTTTGGCAGGTGAATTTGATTGGTGGATACTACGATGCTGGTGACAACGTGAAGTTTGGATGGCCTATGGCATTTACAACCACCTTGTTGAGTTGGTCTGCTGATGAGTATAAGAGTGAGATATCTTCGGTCAACCAACTTGGCTACCTCCACAGTGCTATCCGTTGGGGTGCAGACTTCATATTAAGAGCCCACACTTCCCCAACTACCCTCTATACACAGGTTTGTTTCTATATGTTAACGAGGATAATGATTTTATATTTTGGCCATTGACATAAACTGACAAAAAAGATTAATCTGCGTTCGAAACTAAAAAAATAATGGTTTGTTTAGATAAGTTATGCAATACAACAGCAAATTGAAACCATTTTATAATAATAAAAAAAATGATACCAAGGCTTTTTATACCTTGAAAGGAATGCATGGGGGATATCTTGGCTTTCCTTTGATAGGCAAGCACGACAATTTAATCACTGAATGCCATTATAGCCGGGCCATCAACTCACAACCTAAACAAGTAAATAATTAATTGAAAAGAGAAAGGTGCATCAATAATAAGAAGTATGCATAAAAATTCTATGTATCTTAAAAAATTTAGAGTTTTGATATAAGAAACTCTCTCTTCTTTACTCTTTTAATGTGCTACAACTCATTTATTTGTTAATTGTCTCAAGGATGAACTAAAATCCTTAAATATTTTTGACACCATGTCAACTCTATTAATTGTGTTGTTCACATTTAAATGGTACATATATGTGTTGCTATATATGGTGATAGGTTGGAGATGGAAACTCCGATCACCAATGTTGGGAGCGACCGGAAGACATGGATACACCAAGAACGGTCACCAAGATAGATGCTAATTCCCCAGGAACTGAAGCTGCAGCCGAGTCTGCTGCTGCTCTTTCTGCTGCTTCTGTTGTCTTCAAGAAAATAGATGCCAATTATTCCTCCACGCTGCTAAGCCAGTCAAAATCAGTAAGCAATTTAAGTAGCATATATTTTCATTCATGTATCATCATAAGCAATTGTCCGGCGCCTCTATATATATGAGAACAAAATATTAGAGATATAAAAATATGTTTACGTGCTTCCACCTAACAAATTAATTAGTATTTTAATAATAACCTATATATATTAACGATGTTTTTCAGCTGTTTGAATTTGCGGACAAGCACAGAGGTACTTACTCGGGTTCTTGCCCGTTCTATTGCTCGTACTCAGGTTACCAGGTAAAAGATGCTGCTCCTGGCATGTTAACATTTAAACACCAAATAAATTTTCATAGAACGTTAATTATTTCATTAATGTCGTGATTCGTATTCTGTACAAAATAGGATGAATTGCTATGGGCTGCTTCTTGGCTATATAAGGCGAGTGGAGAAAGCAAGTACTTGAGCTACATCATTGGCAACCAAGGTTGGAGTCATGCGGTGTCTGAATTCAGCTGGGATAACAAATTTGTTGGGGCTCAGACATTACTAACGGAGGTCCATTATATATACATTTAATAATTTGACAGTAAACTAGCTATAATGTGACAAATTGGTATATATTATTTTATTTATCCTTGGATTGAAGGAAATATATATTAAAATTCTACCCCTTTTTATTTATTTTCTCCAGGAATTCTATGGTGGGAAGAAAGACTTGGCGAAGATTAAGAGTGACGCAGAATCATTTATATGTGCAGTGATGCCAGGAAGTAGCTCTGTACAGATTAGAACAACTCCTGGTATATATGTATACGTTATTCACTAATAATTTTATTATTTTTACTCATAACTAGTGATGTTATTATTGATGGAAAAGATACATCAGGCAAATAGGTGTCTTGTATATTTCATTCAACAGACGGAATGAGCTGAAGTAACGAATTATGTATATTGTTCACCGGTACTGCAGGTGGGCTTCTGTTTACTAGGGATAGTAGTAATTTGCAATATGCCACGAGCTCAACCATGGTGCTATTCATTTTCTCCAAAATTCTAAACAGAAATCATATTAATGGAATCCAGTGTGGCTCCGCGCATTTCACCCCCTCCCAAATTAGAGCCTTTGCCAAAACACAGGTATACACCGATCCGTCTTATAATTAAGTGCATACAATAAATAGAAGAAAAATATCAAGAACACATTCTCGACTTTGTCACATTCTTTTCAACACATTTTTTTTAATTCGTTAAAATTTATTAAAAAAAATACTAAAAGACTTGAATACATGTTATATAAAAATTAATTAGAATCATATGAATATTTAATAGTCTACAACTATCTAATATTTGTTTCCTAAACTATAGCACCTAATATTTTCTTTTGGTATTTAATAAATTTATCATAACTTAGTAGTTTTTAATAATTTTAACTAATAAAACAGAACATTTATCTTGCATTTTTTTTATATTTTACTATTTTAATAAAATTAACATTAAATAAAAATTCAAAAATCAACGTCAATTCTTTATTTTAATAAAATAAACATTAAATATAAATTTAAAATTATTTTTCATATGTTTTAAGAAAATTATTTTTTTTTAAAATTACTAATATTAATACATATTTATAAATATTCATAAATATTTATAAATATTTATGAATATTTGATGGCATGCCTCTATCTAGAATTGACCCAAAAAAATTTATATATAATAGTACGTAGTACCTAACAGAACTTCATACATATATTGGATGTTACTGGATAATGTGTGGCTGGCAGGTGGACTACATACTAGGAAACAATCCGACGAAGATGTCGTACATGGTGGGATTTGGCAGTAAATATCCAAAGCAATTGCATCACAGAGGCTCATCCATTCCTTCAATCCAAGTTCACTCAGCGAAGGTGGGTTGCAATGACGGTCTCTCAGACTATTACAATTCTGGTAATCCAAATCCCAATACTCATGTGGGTGCCATTGTTGGAGGCCCTGATTCAAATGACAAATTCAATGATGCAAGATCTGACTTTTCTCATAGCGAGCCTACAACATATATGAATGCTGCTTTCGTGGGCTCAGTGTCTGCTTTGCTTTAGCCAAACAGTTTCCACAAATCACTGGTGCGGAGACAAATTAAGTGAATTAATGTGTAATCTCCGATTAGGCGACTATGTGCCAGATAGATTAAACAGATGTTAGTTATTTTCCCTGCCATATCCATGTTAAGAAAAATTAAAGTAAAAAAAGCCATTACAAGTGAACTAGCTAGTACAAATTTAAATAATTGGCAAGGAATTTTAGGTTCAAACTATGTATTGTATTATCGTCATTAATGTTATGGAATAGAGCTCCACTATAATATACCGTTACAACAAAATCATGCGTGGTTTTTCTGTTTTAACAAGTACCAATTAAGTTCTTGTATGTTGTTTACTTGCAGAAAAGCAAAATTGATTTGTATTTTGTAAGCAATACAGTGGCGCGTTTATATTATCATCGTCGTTCATTTTGTTGTAATCACCATCACTTGATTCAATTCTGTTTTATGTTGTCATTATTATTGTGATTACCAATTCACTTAATTTTCACCATCTACCAGAGTCATTGGTATTATCCTAGTTACCACCAAGTTGTTTTACTATCACCAGATTAAGAATCCTAAATGAAAAAGTAATAAGTGATTTATACAATGAGAATTTCGATTTTGGAATAAAAAATTTTGAAAGCAAAATCACATAAAAAAAATGGAATTAAAATTATAAAATCAACTTTTGATTTTTAAAATTTTCAAAACTTAAAACTTACACATACTTTTTATGAAACATTGACACATTTACAGAATGTCGTGTCAGTATGTTTAATATATTTTTAACATGACATTTATCGGATGCATTATGATATACGTATGATATATTTACATTATGTTACAATTAATTTGTTTTTTAGTTTGAATACTTCTTTAATACAACTTTAACATCTTTCTAACACAATTTGGACATAAACAAAGAGAGTGAATCAATTTCTGTTCTTAACTAAACACTTATATAATACTCATATTATTAAAATAATTAAAAAGTTAACTTATTTATATTGTAAGATTCATAATTTTTTTAAATCTATGATGAGATTTATTTTTTATAAGAATTACTTGATATTTTAATACTTATAAGATATGGTTCATTTTTTAAGAATCGTTATTTTATAAAAATTGTAAAATTTATATATATATATTTATTGTATGGTATTTTACTTTTTAGACATTAACAATATTAATGTGAGATTGGGTAGATCATAGAACACCTTAAGTAAGTTCTAAAATGATTAAATTAGTTAACAAGTATTTTAATAAAACTAATTAAACGTAAAAAAATACCCATATAATATTAAAGAAAATTGCTAGTAATAAAATATATTCCACTGGAACGACTGTCGTTTGAATGTGTAGTTAAACGACACGAAATTGTGTTTGGCACAAGGCCCTCTTATTCGGGCATTGCGCGCCAATTATAGTCATCGAATTCTAGATATTTCACTCTCTCCGATGGAAGATCTTCAGAATTCAACGCTAAAGTTCTTCTCCGATCAAGAGCTTTGTTATGCTGATATCGTCCCTCCTGCTCAGGTTATAATGCTAGTCCATCATCCATCCTCTTTCTTTCTGTATTTTGATCGTTCCAGTTCCGTTTTGATGCGTGCAGGTCCGAGCGAGAATTGAAGTGTCCGTCCTCAATTTTCTCAAAATATTAAACGCATCCAACCCTGCCATCTCAGATTTGCCTCTGGTACAATTTCCATTTTAATCATAAGCTATAATCTACCCGTTGCAGCTGAATAACTTATAATCACTTGTTTAATTTGTTCTAGTACCGCGTTATCTTATTCTTATAGCTGGTTTTTCTAGCAGAAAACAAATATGAATGCGTTTCTAATTTTAGCTTAATAAACCTAAGAAACGATCAGATTCAGAGAAAAATGAGTAACAGTCGAGTGAATCATGGCCTGTTAACTGAGCTATCACGTGTTTTTCTCTCCCATTCCGTATCTACAAGGTCTCTGATGAGACCTAATGCAGCAAAGGCCTTCGTTAGGGGTACAAACTACAAATTCAGTGTTTCATTTTTCTTTACTTTTTCTTTTCTTTTCAATAAATTCTACGTTTCATACTTGTAGTGTGGAAGGTGATGGAAATGTGCTATCAGATATTGCTTCAGGAAAAGCGTGTCACACAGAGGGAGCTCTTCTACAAGATGTTGTGTGATTCGCCATACCTGTTTCCTTCTCAAACCCATGTCAATAGGACCATCCAAGGTTATCACTACTCTGTTGTTTGCTTCGAGTTTAATGACTTGGCGTTTTGATTGGGAATTTCAATCTATACCAAACAGATCTTGTAGCATTGCTTCGGTGCAGCCGTTACAGTCTTGGAATCATGGCATCTAGTCGAGGACTCGTTGCTGGGCGTCTGATTTTGCAGGTAAATCATGAACGAACCCTTCATTCGAGGATTTTGCAATTTCGCGGAGTTCAGATAGATGCTTTAGACTTTAGTATATTTTACTTGAAGCGGATTGTCTCACTGTTTGACGAAATATTGCAAATATAAACATTAATGACTTAGATTTTTCTTGTGTAGGAACCGGGCAAAGAGGCTGTCGATTGCTCTTTATGTGGTTCTTCTGGATTTGCAATTTCTGGTGACTTGAATTTGTTAGACAATTTGGTTCTAAATTCTGATGCTCGGTACGTTATGATTGTGGAAAAGGTGAGTTTGATAGAGGTTTCTTGGTTTATTCGAATTCCCAATTTCACTTACCTATTATATTATGCTATTTTGAAAAGGTAGAAACGTTTCATAATTTCCCAAGGAAGAAAAAATGAAGAATACGTTTTGATACAGTAACAATTGGTTTTCTTTAGCATGCAATATTTCAGCGGCTTACTGAGGACCGGTTTTTTCATCAAATTCCAAGCATTCTTATCACGGCTAAGGGTTACCCAGATATGGCCACAAGGTACTCTGTACACCAGTTTACAGGATAGAGAATTCAATAACTTTAGAGCTTTTACGGGATGATTACAGAAGTTTTTTATTCATACGTGACACATGACACTACCATATAATGTATTGTAGTAATCTTAATCCACTGATCCGAGTGGTTTAGTGTCTAAAATTCTTTTTTAAATGCAGATTTCTTTTATATCGAATCAGTCGAGCTTTTCCAGACTTGCCAATTTTAGCTTTGGTGGATTGGTATTATTGCTTGCCTTTGTTCTGAAATATATAACTTTTCACTGTAATATTTAGAAGAGACATTCTGCTTCTTCCTCTTTTGATAATAAATGTAACGATATGAATCTCCTTGCCCGCGTTTAAACTTTTAAAGGAATCCAGCTGGGTTAGCTATTCTATGCACCTTCAAGTTTGGAAGCGTAGGAATGGGCCTGGAGGCATACAGATACGGTAATTTTATAGTCTCAGTATACCACAAAACATGGAAGCTCTAATGTGTTGGAAACAAACTTGAAAAATGTTTTCATATGCATTATCTAGCTTGCAATGTCAAATGGCTAGGACTGCGGGGACATGATCTACCTTTGCTGCCAGACCAATCTTTCGTTCCATTGAAGCCAAAGGATCTGCAAATTGCTCAAAGCTTGATGTCCTCGGGAATGTTACAGGTAAGCTATCTAGAACCGCTAAATTAGCCCCCACGGTATTGCTTGTTTATCTTGGGAGTCCTGATTAGTTACACACTTGCACATGTTTATTCTGCTTCATTTCTTGTACAGAACATTTTGGCATACATAGTTATTGTGATTCATACCATTCGGTAGATTCCAAATTTTCAAATGAATCCTACATTCTTAGATGCCCAAGCAGGAAACTTTGTGCACAATAGTTGTACATGAATATAGGCCGCGCGTAAGAACTATTATGTTAAAACAAGGTGCACCGTACACCTTCCATCCTAAGGCTTACAAAAGAATATTCTCTACAACTAAAGTTGTTTTCCATTAACAAAATGGTGGTTAACAGGATAATTACAAGGAAGAAGTGGCTTTAATGGTCCAGAGCGGAAGGAGAGCTGAAATCGAGGCCCTTTACTTTCATGGATATGATTATCTGGGGAAGTACATAGCTAAAAGAATTGTACAGTCCGATTATGTATAATTCATAATCGATATATGTTTAAAACCGTAAAATTCTAAAGCTAAAACAAATAGGGAGACTTTTCTGGATAACCAACATATACGAAGATTTTGCACAAGTAAAATGCATATGAAATATTAGAGTAATCTATTCGGTCATTGCATGTCTAGAAAGTGATTATTTAAGGGGGAAATTCAAAAAGCTTTTTTTCTTCTTCTTGAAATATTAACAAATACTTTCTCCATTCTAAAATATCTATCAATTTTGAATGCTTTACAAAGACTAAGAAAATATAATAAATAGATGAGAAAAAATAATAATTTTATAAAAGTAATCTTATTTAATTTTATAAAAAGTAATAAATAGATGAGAGAACTTTAACATTAAAGGTAATAGTTTAAGTCGACCCAATAACGATTGAGCCTTAAAGTAAAATTTGAGAGAAAATTTTATATTTAAAATAAAAAGAGCAATATATTTAATTTTTTTACTAATATTTGTGACCGTTTTAGCTTTATAAAATCCAATAACAAATTATTTTTAAGTGTAGACTCTAAAGCTTTAAATTTATAAGTTTTAACTTATAGATCAATCATAACTAATACTATTTTGAAAACTTTAAATGATAAATGTTTTGGGAAAATTTTTTTCCCTTTGTGACAATTATTTTTGGAGGAGGAACAGTGATTTTTTAACTTATATTTTAAACTAAATCAAGTACACATTAAATGAATAACATTTTTTTATACAAAATCAAGTACACATTAAATGAATAACATGTTTAAAACAAAATCGAATACTCATTAAATGAATGCATATTTAGAAAGCGATTATTTAGGAAAAATGATTTTTTTTAATAAATAAAATATATTTTTATCTTTTTTTTTTTTAAATAAACTAAACTAGTTTAACCAATAAAGAGTTGGGTTTAACCAGAGATTAATCTTGCACAAAAAAAAAAAAAAGAATCTGCTCATAATTTTACATTTTGTGAATGATTGGTAAATGATAAATTTTTTTATATTTGAGAATTATGAATATTTGTTTCATTGATCATAAATATTTTTAAACTTTTTTAAAAATTAAGGATTTTTACTTCATTAAATAAATAAATAAAATTAATATGACATTTTTATCGTATTAAAATTTATTCTTAGTTTGATAAAGTTAGTTTCTTAACTCCTCCATAAAAATAGTTTTGTGAAAATTTATGCAAAAACCATTTTCGAAAAATAATATTAGCTAGAATTATTATTATTTTTAAAAAAATAATAAATTAAATGCACAAAATTAACATTTTTTATTTCAGGTTTTTAGAAAAGTAAAATTTTCACATATCAAATGTCTTCTTGACACTTAATAATGTCTAATATAAGATTGTCTTTGGATGATGATATATTTTTTTATTAGTAAGAAAAATTAAAACAACAACGATGAAGATATAACTTATTTTTTTAAGTACATTTATCTTAATTCTTCGTCACTTTAAAGGAGGATATATGTTAACAATTTATATTATTTTTCAAAATTATCCTTAAATTTATTAGATTCATCATTTCATTCTTTCTATTTTATTACTCTTTACCTAATTAATTAATTATTGTGCCTAATTCGTCTTCTCCAATTCTTGAAAGAGATCGGATGAATTTATCTTATTAATATAAAATATTTATTGTAAAGTAACCAAAATATCTTAGTAAAAAAATTAATGTAATAGACAATTTTAAGATAAATCTTATATGAAAAGAGATAAAATTAGAAGAGTGTTTTATATATATAAGAATGGAAGAAATATTTAAAGATCTCCTAATGGAATGACATCGGAAATGTATTAAGTTTATGATCGATAATTAAGAAATATTCTGTCTGAATTTGAATATAAACAATATAAAAAAATAATTCACACTAAATAAAAAAGTGAATTAATATCATTTAATTGCATCAATTTTATTTTAAAAAGCCTAATTTTCTAAACTATTATTTTTTTTAAAACTTGATATTAAAAATAAAAAATTATTTGAAATATAACTTCAATTAAATAAACGGGTATTTTAAAGATGGTATTAATCAATAGAGTAAATTTAAACTAATAATAAATATGTGTTTTCTCATGACTTGTATTTAGAACCGAATGAAAGACTATGTAGCATGCTCAATTAAGAAATATACTTTTTTTTTGGTGATCAAAATTAAGAAATATACTCAATTAAGAAACTTAGACTAATATGTCTTCAGCTTTTTAACTACTATTGTCATAAATTATTCTACAGATTCTCATATTTTATTTCCAACTACTTACAATAATAAATAAGAATAAGGATCATTACAGCTGTACTAATATGAATTAGATGGTATCTTTTTTCAATGCAAGTATTAATTTATCTTCTTAATTAGATTGGGACAGAGTCGGGAAAAAAAAAACTTAGAAAAAGTAAAATTTTATAACAAAAACAAAAGACTAAAACATTATTATTACACCAAAAATTGTTAATACATATAGCTGGATACTTGTATCTATTAATGAAAGATTTAGATTTAATCTCTATTTTGAATATAGAGTCATAGAAAATATATTTTTATTTTAGAATGAGTCTTTTTTCGTTTTAGAAATAATTATATTTTTATTATAAAAATATTAATTTTAAACGGAGGAAGGGGGACTTAGAAACAACAAAATTGTTAAATTTTTTTTATAACAATTATGTTGAACATATGGGTAAAAATAATAATAATTATGTTGAATACTTGAACGTATGAAAAAAATAATAAGAATTATGTTGAAATTGATTTTGTTTTATGGAAGTCAGCTGCGACTGCACGCAGCACAGCATAATATAGTATAGTATAGCAGCGTGAGGCGCTCACAGAAACTGGTGGTCATCTCTGAATTTCAATTGGTGGCAAAGCAGAGGGTCCCCTCCCCAAAGTAAACGGCTATGGCGGCAACTTCCATTACTGCATCTTCCATCCTCTTCCCATTCACAACAACCACACCCAAACCCTCTCAGCGGTTTCTCTCCTTTCCTTGCCAACACCACACCCTCCGTCTCTCAGCCTCTGCCTCTGCCTCTGCCTCTGCGGCTTCAACTCCGACCCCCTCCATCCAAATCGAGAAATCCGCAGCCAGCACCACCCCCTCCAAGGCCCTTCCCTTTCGCGTCGGCCACGGCTTTGACCTCCACCGATTGGAACCCGGTTACCCCCTAATCATCGGCGGAATCAACATACCCCACGACAGAGGCTGCGAGGCTCATTCCGATGGGGACGTTCTCCTTCACTGCGTCGTCGATGCCATTCTCGGGGCCTTAGGTCTTCCTGATATTGGCCAGATATTTCCCGATTCCGATCCCAAGTGGAAGGGTTGTGACTCTTCCGTCTTCATCAAAGAATCTGTGAGTATTCTAATTCCTTTTTACTCTTCTTTTAGGCGTAGGCTTTCCGTTATTTTATTCAATCCTAACATGTCAATATCATTCAGCCTAGGAGATAGAGTTAAGATTTGGGATTCACCTCACAAAAATTTAAGTCAGAAAGAAGGAATTACGACATTTTTTTTTTTTTTGGTTTTCATTAATAACGAATGTCATTTTGTTTTGTCTTCCGAGGATTTGTTTTTTTTTCATTTACTATACAAATATTTGACTAGAAACGAAGTGAGAATTATGTAGTGTTTTAGTTCTAATTAGAGAAAACAAAATGTTTTCGCAAATCAAACATGGAATACCATAACTTGAGTTTGGCGCCTTAGACCACTCGGCCATTCTGACTTGATGACAGCGGTGGTAGTTGGAGTAGTATGCGGTAGGTACAGTTTTAGATTCTAATTATGTTGTTATCATTGTAATTTTTACTGTTAAAAAATGAATAAATAAGCCTTTCTGAATCTAGTTATTGACTGTGTTTAATCAAACCTAGTGGTTGCAAGGCCTCCTTTGGAATAGAGGATGACATGGTGTTTTCAGGATCAATTTTCACAGTATCAAAATAACGTTTGATTAATCAAAATTATTTTTCACAACTACAAATTAGTCGTTGATTGTTAGTTTTATCATATTGCATCAACTTGGTTCATGGAACAAAGAAAAAAAAATATGAAATTCCTACCAAAGCTAGTAAGAGGGAAAATGATAAGGTCTATTATTCAACCTGTGATTTTGTAGGTATTAAATAAGTAAATAGATTGCCCTCAAACATGGATTCCTATTTTGATGAGTTACTTGATTTCCAACGCTGCATTTACCATTTGTTTTCCGTAGTTTACTTGCAGTTTTTAGAATCATATGATTTGTGATTCAGATAACACAGATTCGATATGATTCATGTCGTGTGACGAATAACATAGGACTTTGAATGGTACACTACATGGATGATTTGCTTCAGTTCTGTATCTTCAATATGAATTATCCGATTCAATGATTCATTATATTTCATTTTTATATTTCTTTCATCAATTCTCATTAATGAAATTGAAAATTTTGATAAGCTTGAATTGTTAAATGAAAAGAAAATGAAGCAGCACTTTTGACCATGCCCTATTATTATTCCGCTTCATTTTCTTTCTGAAGTTTCACATTATCACTTTCTTATGATATGCTCTCTATTTGGGTATTCTAAAATAAAGGCTTAACAATTCTGTTCTTACTCATAGTTTTGTTTTGAGAAACTTATAGGTAAGCTTTTTTGTTAATTTCTAGTATAAAATCGTTACATTGTACATTTTACATTTTTTGAAAGTTATTTTTCATTGAATCTCTGAATCTATTCGATTTTTTATTAACAATTTGAATCTATATGATGGCTGTACGAGGGAAATCATATTTGGTTATTCAATTTTTTTTCCTAGGAGTATGATTGAAGATAATTATGTACCACATGTACAAGTACAACTGCCGGATATTTTATCTACATCTTCTAATTTGTGTTGTGGTATTTTACAGGTGAGACTTATGCATGAGGCTGGTTATGAGATTGGAAATTTAGATGCTACATTGATACTTCAGAGGCCAAAACTAAGCCCACACAAGGATACTATCAAGGCCAACTTATCTGCATTGCTTGGAGTGGACTCTTCTGTAGTAAATATCAAAGCAAAAACTCATGAGAAGGTAGATAGCCTTGGAGAAAATAGAAGCATAGCGGCTCACACAGTGGTTCTTCTAATGAAGAAATGAGAAGAAAACATGGAAATATTGAGGAGCATGATAGAACTATAATTCGTAAAAAAACTGAAATTTATAAACTACATTTTATTATCTTGTGTACTGTTTATTGTTTATACATGTCTTATAGAGGCGAAAAAGTATTTATTGGTGTAGCTCTAGTCTGCATGTTGCTTAGAATTTGGTTGCTGTCTTTAATTTTTTTAGTTTTTTTTTTCTTTCCATTTTGGTATTAAGGGGAGCCCTGAATAGGTTTGAACGGTAGATGCAGTGACAAATATCTCTCTACATATAATATATAAACTACACTCGAAGAAATGTGTGCCGTTGATTGAAACTCAAATATAATATATTTAATTACAATTAATGAAAATTTTGATTGTTAATATTAATGTTTTTTTTATATATATAACTGGTAGAAAAGAAACACTGTGTTTTCAATATATTTATTTAGAACATAAAATGTAATAGAAGTTAGATAATAATTAAGAAGGTAGAGAGAACTTCTTATGCATATACATATTGTAGGACATTTGGGATTCACACGATTTCACATTGGTATAATATTATGTATTTTGGGTTTAAATTTTTATGATTTTATTTTTAATCATCTTTTAAAAGGTCTCGTATCAGTGGAAATTATGTATATTTTATATATCTTTATTATTTATTTTCTTCATAATCCAATGATGTAAGATTTTGTTTGTATTTCAACAAATTTCTCTTTAAATAAATGGTCATGGTTTAACTTCTTTTTCAACAAAATATATTTTTTCCAATTGTAGTATTCAATGGTGACTCTTAAAGTTTTAGTTACATCTATTAGTTCTAGATACTTGCACTGTAGTTAGTTCAAACATCAATAGGACATACTGTCTGATCTCCACATTATCAAGAAGACTTTTGACACAAAGAATTTCACACTTGGACCCATCACTTCCAATTGTCAAATACTCACCCGAGACTTTAAGTTGATTACTTGGTTGAAACCAACAACTCTAATATCGAAACCAATAGCTCTGATACCATTGTTGAACATTAAGAGTTCACACACACATATTTTCATATTAGTATGATATTATCTACTTTGGATATAAACTCTCATAATTTTGCTTTTAGTTATCTCCTAAAGGGTCTCATACTAATGATGACTATGTGCATTTTATAAACCTTTATTTTTTCCTCATGATTCAATGATGTAAGACTTTATTTGTACTGCAATAGATATCCATGGTTCAAACTCGAAAGTAATAGTTAAGTTGGAAATTTTTTTTTATCAATTTATCTACATACTCATTAATCATGTTGGACAATTTAATATTAGTTGTTATTTTTTAAAATCTATAAATAAAGTTGAGATTTTTTAATTATTTTAAAATGGAGAAAATTGTTAATATGTACAAATATTATATATATATATATATATATATATATATATATATATATATATTGCGTATATTATGAAAATGTTGTTTTTGTGTGAGAATGAGAACGTTTAATCTTAACTCTTAAATTTAAATAAATAATTTTGATTAAAAGATTACAAATAAAATTGTCACGTATTGTTACTATTATAATTTTCTCTATTATCATCGTTGTTACCACTATCATTAAAATCACAGTTATCACCACCATTAAAATCGTCACGTTCACTAATATCACTACTATTATCGTTACATTAGCACACCATCATTATCATCATTACTTTTGTTGTTGTTAACACCATTATTGTTGTCGTTATTACAACTATAGTCATCTACTATTAATTATATTTTTTTTATATTACAATAATATCAATTTTGATGATTTTTTTAATTAATGGTTCATTAATTTATTTAAAAATCACATTATTTTCATGTTCTTTAATATAAGTTTTAAAGTCAAGAACACTCATGTGTGCATGTCACATGTGACGTGTGTCATTTTACCTCTTCTCCTTTGAAAAAAATTTACTCTCGCTTATGTTAATTAATTTCAACAATGTTGTTTGAAAAAAAAAGAAGAAGGAAATAAGGTCAAATGTGAGGGGTAAAAAGAAGTAAAGGATCTAATTGTGGTAATTCCAACAAACATGCATTCAACATAAGAAATATAAAGTTGAAGATATTTATTAAGTCAACACAAAAAAGATTGAGTTACACAAAAATTATAAGCATAAATTAAAAAGTTAAATATAGAGAATAAATTTAAAATAAATGAAATGTAGGGATTAAAAATATATTTTAACGCATCCGTGTGTGCAAGTGTTCGTTAATTTTATATCACTGTTTTTATTGAGGTTACATAATAAATAAATAAATCAATGTCAGCAATTAAATGTATCATTAATTATAATTAGGTGAATTAAATATGATTAGATTTGATGATTATTATATTATTTAAGTTTCAATTAAAAAATATATTTCTTCGAGTATATACATAATATTAATGTTTTTATTGCAATATAATAATAAAATTCAATAATATAATATTATAGGAAGTTAGATATGTTTTCTTTTAATTTAATAACTAAGAATATAAATTAAGAAATAAAATATTATATACATACACTAGTCTATTTTTAATTTAGTTACTTTAAAATATATTTTTATGAAAAATAATGATTACAAATAAGGATATAATAGACAAATTTTAGATATATAAATATTATAAAAAGATACTTTTACATCGACTCCCCGTTGATCAAAACTTAGAAACAGTAATATTTGATGATCTAGTAATTTTTTTTAGCATGCTTTACCTAATATTTTAAAATACAATAAAAAATTACTTTATGTTTATAAACATGTTCTTTATTAATCAAATATTATTTTAACATAAATAAAAATTGAATCTTGAGTCACTAGATCGACTTTCTTTGACCATACACTTAATTATAATTGATGAATAAGTTAATTATTAATATTAAAATTCTTAATTATAAATTTTTGATAATTTTTTAAGTTAATAATATATATTTTAAGATTAAAAGATGACAATTATAAGGGACATAATAGAAAGGGGTTTTAAGATTAGATATACATATTAACAATTACTTAAATAATTTTAAAGTGTTTGAATATATTATTATTTAAAAATTTATATTATATTATCTCATTTTAAAAACTAAAAGAAAATAAAAAAAAATGAATACTAATTTGAAAGGAAATAAAATATAAAAATAACCAAATAATTTTAAAAAATATATTATACTTCACAATAATATTAAAAATAATAAAATATTACTAATTATCTAAAAACACTTATTACTAAATAACTCATTTTGTCACTCTATATTGTGTAACTTATAAAATGTTAGTGACATGTTAGGATAATCTAAAAACACTTATAAAAAAAGTAGGAAGAAAAATTTGAAAAAAGTTTTTTTTTCATATAAATTAATTCGTAGAAGTTTTTTATATTAATTTCTTTAAAATCTTATTTTAAACTTATATATGTATGTGCTAGTTTTATTTCATAGGAAAAAATATTTTAAATTTTCTTTCTGTTATTTCTTCTAAAAATATTTATAAAAAAAAAACTTATCTAAGTCTATTTTTAAATGTCTTTTGGAACCTTAAAAGTGTGTTTGGACGAGGAATTTAAATGGAGTAACTTATTTATTTGAAAATTTTTAAATTCTTTGAGGTGAAATGTCTTGTTTGGATTGAGGATTTTTAAAGAATTTGAAATTCAAACATTTGTAAAATTCCTTGAAATAGTATAATTTCAAATTCTCCCAAAAAAGTAAGAGTTTAAATTCCTCATATTTTTTTTATTCTTATTTCACTTATATATTTTATCTTATATTTTATCTCTTCATATTTTTAATTACTGAAATATTTAAAAAATTAATAGTATCTAATATTAATTTTTGAAATTATTAAATGTTTAAAAATTAGCTAATATTTATTTTTATAAAATTTAATTTAAAATTCTCAACATATAAATATATTTTTTAAATCAATTTTACTACGGTAGAATCAAATTATCATATTTAACCTAATAATTTAAAATTTAAGAAATTTGAATTGACCTATCCAAACAAAATATTTTAAGAATGATAGAAATTAAAATCAAAATAATTCAAATACAAAAAAAATTAAAATTCTTTAAATTTGTAAAATTTTTCATCCAAACACACCATAAACGCATAAACAATACTCCATTTTTTATCCGAATGATTTGGCAGTTATATAATTACGAAATATCCTTCTAAAAATACATGATCTAGCTCAAATTTAAATTTCTTTCAAATATGAAAAGTACATGGAAACAATTTTGGATGCTTGCATTTCAAAGGTCGCCTTTTGGAGGCTTCCTGTGAGCAGAGTCCAGAACACAGTCACAGACACTTCTAGAGACTATTTGTGGTATGCGCACATACATATAATTTTTTAATATTTATTCTTTTTCCAGAAAATTACATTATATTATATAACTATATAAATTTTAATTAGACAGATTATAATGATGAAGAAAAATTATATGTTTGACTATTATAACTGTAACATTAATAAAAAAGATATCTTATTTTAGTACTTATCTATATATTTTTTTAACTCTTTTATTTCTTAACTAATTTGTTAAAATATATTTTTATTTTTAATTTATTTATTTTATTATTCTACTATTTTAAAGTTAATCATATATTTTTTAATTTTATTATTTAATTAATTTTCTTATTTTTATATGACGAGGCATGAAGTACCTCCGTTTTACTGATTATAATAATAGAAGTTGCATAATAAAATACAAACACGGATAACAACTAATGAATATAATGATAAAAACAAAGGATGATTATGAAACTTGTTGAAGATATGAACATTTGATTATACTAAAATACTAAATACCATCTTTTGTAAGGAATATGTTGATCTCATCGTCGTATTAGAAAACAGAAAACGTTAAGCTTACTTCTTCCTTATTATTTTTTGTTTAATAGGAGGAGTATCATTTTACTTCTGCATATTGTTTCATATATAGTTATGTAAGAATCTTTAAAACCTGATACATGGATTTCCAACCCAATCCATGTTTCACGTGGACATACAAAATTCAGCATAAATAGATTTTGACCAAAAAAATATAATGGAATAGCACCGAATAAAGCCGGTCCATTTGGAGAGTTTTTGGATATATAAATATGAAAGTTGACTAGAACCAAATCAGCCTTGACTAGAAAATTTCGTTCCTCATTTCATAAAAATATACATGGCGTTTGTTTAAATTATAAAATGTA